TTTTAAAACGGAGCAAGTAACTAGAAGAAATCTACCTACTCAAATGTCTTTCTTGTTTATTTCTTTTCCTTTGACATTGTTATCTTACCATTGATTTGGAAAGCAACCCTATCTTTGGATTTAAGCGGGACAGGCGTGGGTCATCGTATAGTCATGATAGCAATATTGTGAGGTATCTTAGCATTTATTTTTGAGGGACTAAGATCATTTTGAAAGGCAACATTTATAGCGTCATTGAGGGACTATGATCTTGTATTTCGATTGTTTTTGCTAAGACACCCCACATGCATAACATGACCATTTTTTAGGCAACAAGCGGAGTTAACCTTAAAGGTGCATGTGTGAATAGTGTGTTTGATTAGCATGCATTTAGTCTTTGCTTTTAGGTTGTCTATTTGGTTGTTTTCATGTCTTGCCATACACACCTTAATTACTATCATTTACATTTGAAAGCGATAAATTGTGGAAATGTAAAGTCCTACGCTATTACAATCATTGGGGGATGGGGTGTACAAATTTACAAATGGGGATTGCGAATAAAATTAAGTCCTAAGTTACTATTACAACCATATTGAAATGGATAAGAATGTACAATAAATGTAAAATTGTTACTTGTTTTATTTTAAGAAAATATTTTTGATCTTTTGTTTTAAGAAATAAAATAAAGCATGTAAAAATGAAAAAAAATTGTTTTTGGTGTTTTTGATTAATGAAATAGGAAGTAATAGCAAAAATAGTGAGAAAAAGAAAAATAGAATCAGCGTATTGCTGACTAAAGGGGGTCAGAAGTTCTGACTCTAGCGTACTGCAAAATAGATATCTTGTTAGTGAAAAAAATAGGTAAAGTCAGAAGTTCTGGGTCCGCTGGGAACATAGTAGTTTTCAGAAGTTCTGATACCAATGACAGAACTTCGTATCCATCTCCATGCTAGTCAGAATATCTGCAACTTAGTCATTTCTTAACAGAACAGAAGTTACACATATAACAGTAATGACAAGTTTTATAGTGTTTCAGAAGCAAGAAATATCAGCAATATAGATCATAAGCAAACGTGAATTTGCTAATCCTAATTCTGAGTCCTAATTTCTTCATGAAGCTCTGAACTGGAATTCTCTCTACTTAGGCAGGCAGATGCATGAAATCTCTGAATATGTACATAATCAGAATTAGAATATCTACATTGTATTTTAAACATGCAAAATCTGACAATGCCTAAGTAATATGAGGAGAGTCAGCAGAAACTTACCTTGCAGCTGGAAAAGATTTTGTGAACTGGAGGTTGGTCCTGAACTCTGGTGATGTTCTGAGCAACTTCTTCTCGTACCCAGCAGGTTAGAAGTTTTCAATGTCTGAAACAGCTAAGGGGTGATGTTCTGACTTCTTTGAGGTGGAGGTGGATGGAGAATGTATTACAGTATGAATACAGAAGTTAGGATAACTTCTAATATATGAATCAGAAACCGTGTGGATGGTTTTAGTCAAGAAACACTTGATAGAAAATGGAGTTTGAATGCAAGGAATCAAAAGTTAACAAGTTTTGTAAGTTGTGTTTACAGTTTTTGGACTCTTGGAATTTTTGCAGGGGTTCAAGGTTTTTCTTTCTCAAAATTTCTGACCTCTCTCTCAAATTTTCCGACCTCTTTTCAATGGCCAACGTGTTCTATTTATAGGCAAAGATTTTGTAGTTTGGAGAGGTCAAGTGGCACCAACATCATACGCTAGATGTTGACTTACTCTTGAAGTAAGCTTAAACAAGCGTGGTTCAATGCACCAAGTAGAATAGTTAACAACACCTAAGCTAGATTTGTCAGCATGAATTAAGGAAAAGTAGAAGCAGCGCATGGGCTTAGCATACTTTTGCATAAAAGTTTGTCTTCCCAAGACAATAGGGGTACACGTGGGGGAAATCCTTTGGATAACAATTCAAAAGTGGTTGTGAGCATTAAATGATGATGAGATTTATCAAATCATAAATTCTGCCATATGGAACTCTGCATCCTTGCTTAACTCTGAATTAGAAGTTCTACTTTAACGTAGCATCTAATCTTCTGATCCTCTTATCTTCTGGCTCCAACATATTCTGAATGAGCTTTCAGACTTTCTAGAAAGCCTGCAACACGCTTCTTAACCTTCTTTGAATTACCCTGGCAAACTCTGACTGAAGCTTTTGTGAAAACTTGCCCAGAAGTTCTGACCAAACTCTGCCTTGAGAGTGTCCAGAATTTGCCGAGTGTTATGGTGATAATCTGGTCATAAGTTCTGAAATTGTCATAATTCTTAAACACTTAGAAAAATTTCTAAGTACTTAGAATTTGACTTCTCCAAAGTAAAATTTGACTTTTCTGATGAAACAAACTTCATATTCCAACATGTCTTGATGAAATATGATTTTTGAGATTTGATTTTGATCCAAAAGTCAAAGTTAGACTTATCAGTGTGCAAATGGCCATTTTGCCCTTGTGAATGGCTTGCTTGGAAAAATTGATAATTCAAGGCCTGAAAACTTGATAGAAGCAAACCTGGGATCCAGGGTGATCCCTTGTGAAATGAGAGGGCAAATTTTGGGGTGCAACAATCTCACTCTTATGTTTGAATGATGCTTTATACGGTATCATGTATATAGTTAAGAGTAATCTGAGGCTGCAGAGTCTGGAAGAGGTTACTTTTCATTTTATTCGAGTTGACATCATTGCTCTGATACGTAACAGCGGGGGAGGGGGGGGGGGGATAACACTTAATTCTTTTGTTGTTGTAGTAATTTGTTTGGAGTCTAAGGAACTCCTTATGATTTGAATAAATGTTGATTTATTTTGAAGAGATTGTTTGACTTCAAATATGATTATTTTTCCGCCGCATTAATAAAAGTTAAAGTTAAAGACTATGAGTTGATGTTTTGGTTAATCTATTATTCGTGTTATGTATCTTATACTTAATATGAGCAGGTTTATGTATGTTTGTGAAAATGTAGCATCCTAAATGTTCGTTATTTATTTTAAAATTACTCTGAACTTTATTTATTATTCACTGAGGAATTTAGGGTGTTACATCGTCAACCAAATGATGAGGAGATATTTGCGAATTTCCTTTCTATTAGAAATAAGAACACAAAATAGATAACTGTGGCCCTTGAGAGAATAGGAAAATCACTACATGTGTTCATCCACTTCAAAATATTGTATCACACCCCTCTGAAGAAAGTACACTTTTAAAAAAGATGATTTTAGTTTTTATCTTTTCCACATCCTCATATGCACCTTAAAGAATCATTGTTGATGATCCTACAATGATTCAAGTTGTCTTAGTCAATAGTCTGTTTCGAAAGAACCTCTAAGCGAATAAGAACACTTTAAGCAAAGTGAAATAATTCCAAACACAATCAACAAAAACTCTTGAATCAACCTCCAACTCCTGAATAAGAAAATGATAAACATCTTTGACATGGTACTCCTCATCCATGTTAAGTCTTTATAACCATTTATCTACTTTGATATCATGCAAAGAAATGTTTCCACCAAAATACAACAATCTAGTCCTCCTTCAAAGCAAACAAACAACTTCCACCTCCCTTCACCCTCATCTACATATATCAACCACAAATGCCTTTTTAATTAAAGAAAGCTCATACAAACCACTACATTTATCCCTTAACAAGCCTCCGTCCAACCAAGGATGATGCCATAAATAAGTACTTTCAGCATTTCATATGTCTCGAAAAAGAAACTGTATAAACCATTTCTCCACAGGCAAACACACTTTATTTCCTAATAAATATCAGATTTTCCCACCATTCTAACACATTTATCCCGCTTTCTTTCACCCAACCTCTGTCACGCTCATTGTTATGAACAAACACTATACACCATAATGCCTTCCGACCAGTCCTAAGCCCCTAACATCGTTTTCCAAAAAAGGAAAATTGAATCCTCCCAACCTTAACCCTCATTTACACGATTAAGATAAACTTTATCCCGATGCGCCAAATGAACCTTTCTAGTTTCTTTACTACCTCCGCATCCACAAAAAAGATTTAAACAAATATTTGATTTTAGAAATAATACACGATGGAACCTTGAAAAAAGAAACTAGTCTAAAAGATAATAAAATATATATTCGAGGAAGACGTTTGACCATCCATAGACAATTGATAATATTTCCACCTTGAGAATTTTTTCTTGATTCTTTCAATCATAGGTTTTTTAAAAGATAATTTTTGAAAACCACCACCTATGAAGAGGTTAAGATTAATAAAATAAAATATCTTCAATCTTACCATTAAAGACACTTATTGTTTCAATTAACTAATGTTACTGAAAATAGATGAAATAATCTAGAATAAAGGGGTAAATAAGCTTTTTTTTTTTTTTTTTTTTTAAATATTTTTCAAAACTGGATTAATTGTGGAAGCATATGTTAAAAAAATATTTTTAGAATTTGCGGAATTGAATAGTTGTACATTGAAATTCTAAAAAATGCAAAACAATAATAATTAAAAAATAGATTGAAAAAAAATAATAATTAAAATATTGATTGATTTTCAAAAGAAACACAAGACAATATTATAAAATACAACCCTCAAAATTAAAAAAAGTAAAATCACATAAATTAAAACTAGTATTTTAAAATAAAGTACAAAACTTAATTTCTATAACGTCTTTGCTTCTTCCTTTGAAAAATCATGAGTTGTCATGCTTTTTTTTCCTTTTCATTTTCTATGTCGTTCTCTACTTCTTCCTTCATCTTATGTGAGTTTATTTTCGGTCCATTTGATTAAATAGTCATGGAGTTGGACCACAATAAAAATCCAACCCGGTTTATTTAATAGACCGGAAAACCAACCCAATGAAAAATGGCGGGAAAATCATCTAGGGTAGCAGTAGTAGGGCACAAGAGTAGTTAGAACTGGTAGCAGTTTAATATTGTAATTCAAAACGCCGCTCCATAAATTCGCCACCGCACCTTCACCGGAGCACCGCCGGAGTACCAAATTGAAAATTGAAAGATGAACAACATTGAAAATTGGGAGGAGGAGGAGGAGGAAGACGAAGAAGAGGATTTGGAATTCTCGAGAAATTATTTTCTAGCAAAGGAAGTACAATCTTCGGTAAAGAAATCAAAACGCAAGATTACTGACATTGATGTTGTTGATGAGCAGGTACCAATTGATGAATGAAAATTAACTTTATTCTCTCGAATTTGCGCGTTTACTTTACGTTTTGATTTTGTATGTGTGTAGGAACTTAGGGAAGCTGCATTGCACATTCAACCAAAGCATGAAAACGAGATTGCAAAGTTAATGGATTCATATACAGCTATGTATCCTGAATGGCTTCTCTCCCTAAGGTAAGCTTCTCATCCTTACCATTCAACAATTTTTGTATCTAGAGGTTTTGGGGTTGAGATATATAACAATATCATATGCTATTCAATTCATTAAGTGACATACATTTGAAAACCTATCTGTGTTGATGTTTGTTTCTATTAAGTATGGATCATACTCACGGATATGTGGACATGCGCTCGAGTTTAGCGTAGCGAGCGGCTGGGACTCAACCGTTGGTTTGTACCTCTTACGAGGTGGACCATTCACTCTTGAATATAGAATTTGAGACGGATGGAGGAAAATATAATCAGAGGGTAAAGCAAAGTATGCTCTACCCGAGAGTTTAAAAAAGTTAAAGACAACTTATGCATCCTAAACTATTCTTGTAAGCCCTTAAACAATTTACACAAACTATAATATGAGATCAGTCTAAATAAGCTATTATAATTTATAAATACCATTTTTTTACTATTCATTGCTGTATAATATATCATAGCTTGTTGAATAATATTATATTTTTTAAAAGTTAATTTATCTACCATGGAAATATTGTGACCTTCACTTATTTCCGAATGAATCAGCTGTGGCTTCGCTCTTCTAATGTATGGCTTTGGGTCTAAGAAGGCTTTGATTGAAGACTTTGCTTCAAAGACATTGACTGAATATTCTGTAGTCGTCATTAATGGGTATCTTCAGACTATAAACTTAAAACAGGTTTGTTTTCCACTTAAGATCTTGCATTCCACAGAAGCGTGTAATTATACTTAGTGAAGGATCACGCGTGTGCTATGCTCTAAGATTTCTTTCTTTTAATATATTAGGTTCTAATAACTTTAGCTGAACTTCTATGCGATCAAGTGAAAGCTAAACGAAAGGTTTCCGGCCGGCAGCTCAGTTCTCAATCTATAGAAGATCTTCTTACATTTTTGTATGAAGTGGAAGTAGAGGACAAGGATTGTTTTGTTTGTGTAGTCATTCACAATATCGACGGACCAGGATTAAGAGACTCTGATACCCAACAATATCTCGCCCGACTGGCTTCTTGTACCCATATTCGTATGGTTGCCTCTATTGACCATGTTAATGCTCCCCTGTGTAAGTTTATTTCATACCGTCAAATTATCTCGTGAGTATAGTACTTGTAAATTGTTAGTGCAGTCAGTATTGCCATAATTCATCTTTAGACATGCCTCGATGTTATGTTTGCTTAAATTTTGTTTGCATGTTTAAATTGGTCTATTATCATCTGCTGGAGATTTATTTTGAGTGTTTGAACTTTGAACGGTGAATAGGAGCTCGAATTTGGATATATCAATTACTTTATTGTTAATTCAAGATAAAACTTTTGTTTGATATCTGCTGCATATTACTGGACGTGCTCTGAGGATCTGATCCTATGTTTTTATCTCTGCTGTTTTTAACTGGGCAATAAGACTGTGGTATCATCCTTTTCGAAAGTTGAAGAACCTAAATGAAGTATATGTGACTATATGAAGGATTTTTGTTGCCTCTGCCTATTGCTTAACAGTTACATTATATCTTCTGTTGGCAGTTTGGGACAAGAATATGGCTCACACACAGTTCAATTGGTGCTGGTATCATGTTCCTACATTTGCCCCATATAAGGTTGAAGGCATGTTCTATCCTCTTATTCTTGCACACGGCAGTGCCAGCCAAAGTGTCAAAACAGCTTCAATAGTTTTGCAAAGTTTGACACCCAATGCCCAGAGTGTATTCAAAGTTCTTGCTGAATATCAAATTTCTCATCCCGATGAAGGCGAGTTTCTATCATTTTACTTAAATATCATATTCTGTTATTTTCGTATATATGGTTTCTTAACTGTTTTTATCCCTCCAGGAATGCCAATCAGTGATCTTTACTCAGTCTGTCGTGAACGTTTCCTTGTTAGCAGCCAGGTTACCCTGAATTCTCATTTGACGGAATTTAAAGACCACGAGCTGGTCAAAACCAAGAGGCATTCTGACGGTCAAGATTGCTTGCACATCCCTCTAACAACAGAAGCACTTCAAAAAGTTCTACTCGAGATCAGTTAGTACCGGGATCATGATTCCAACGAAATTGTATGAGACCAAACAAATTAGTTCATATAGTCATGCATTATAATTTAAACGGAATTCAAATCATCCGAAGCTCATTCCTATGGGAAGGAACCTTATGAAGCAAATTCTAGTAACTAAAACAAGTTTTGTTATTGATCTGGAAAAAAATGTTTTGATCGGCAAATTTTACCTATTCGAAGAAATAGGGACAGGTCCCCTTCTCAAGCTGATAGGATGGACCATTATGTCAAGAGAAATAGATACCAAATGTTTATCAATCTAAATCACATAACATGGGTGTATGTCATATCATTAATGAATAGTTTACAATTGTTGTTGACAATGTCACACCAATAATAATCAGTGAAACATAATCACTACATTTTCGTGGATACAAAGTATAATAACTAGATTATAGTTAGAATAATATTTAGTATATAGCGCAAGTAATGGGGTGATGTGAGAATACGCGTATTTGAAAGTTTCTTGTTTGAAGGCCACACTCAGTTCATAAAGATGAATATGTTTACAGCTTGCAAAAAACATGTACAACTTTATGTTGTCTGGCTTGACTAGTTGGTTGAGCATCTAATACGCTAAAAGAATTCTTAATTGATAATGTAAAGAATAATATCATATTGTTGGGGTCTACTCTTTTATATATAAGTGAGGCTTAAGCCATTTGATATGAAAAGCCATTGAGCCATGAGAAATTAGCCATGGTTTTTGATAAGTTAGTTTTGAAAACATTTGAAGTATAACTGACTATTTGATTGTGATTAGACGGTATGATTAGACGATTTAAAGAAAACATTTTTTATTTTATATTTTATATTAAATTTACAAATAAATTGTTTGATTTTGATTGACTGGTCCACATTTTATGGAATAAGTGAATGAGTTAAAATTTAATTATAGGAAATCATCATCTTTAGTTTTCAACTAAATCAAATTTTAGGGTTCAGACATATACCATCTTAACTTTTTGAAAAATCATGGATAAAAACATGATTTAATTATGATTCAACTGTGATGAATTGTGAATAAATTTTATTTAGTTATTGATTAAACAACACAAATATATATATATAAATTCTATTTAAATATCGCGTAACCATGATAAAATGTGAGACACTTTAATATAATTCATTTTTTACATAAATTTATAGTTAATTATAATTGATTCTGATCAGATATTTAAAATCAAAGTTTCTTTTGAACTATATACAAATTTGTTGAAGATAAAATTTCTAAAGTATAATTTTAAGGGGCAAAATGGTGATTTAGTTGTAAACTTTCTCTAAGTTGATTAAGGAAAAGTGGAAAATGACACTCACACATAGACAAATAAGGTGTTGTTTGTAGTAGTACATGATAATAACTGATTAATGATTATGCATACATAGTTGACTGTTTGAGAAACAAAAAGTTTGGAAATTTTTTAATTGAGCTGTCACGCGCCTACATGCTTGATCTAATTAATTTTTTTGATTTTTTTCAATGAATGAATTAATTAAACCTAGTCCTATAATAGGACATAATCATGTTAAATATCATATGAAACATATCCAGGAAAAAGAAACACAGCCACTATAAGCTTTAGGCATTGACCATTTTCTTCCCTATGATTTTAATTGATCACATGGGCAGTGATAGACACGCGCACGAATGAGAATTGAAGTTGTTTTGGTTGATTGATTCCATTGATTACTTGTAAATGGAGGCGACAATTGCGGGTCTTCGCCATTAATTTCAAAGGATTAGGTTTTTTATTTGACACAAAATTTTCTTTATTAGTAGTATGCCACAAAAGTTTAACTTACAAAGAAGAAATTTGTAGTGGAAGATTCTCAATATAATTGACACCTGATAATCCGTAATCTAACGGATTCTATTGTAATGTTTGATAAACTAATAACTATTAGTTTATAAATAAAGAAATTATATGAAGTTATATATTTAATTAATATCAAATTTTTTAATTAATTGAAAGAAAAAAAACATAAATTATTTGAATCATAATATAAAAAAAATAATTTCTAAGTCTTTGAAATCAAAGAACCCTACTATAAAAATATAAAAATAATAGGAAAACGCCGCAACAAAATACATAACATTCTAATATTAAATACCTATCGTCATCTATTTAGATGTTTCATTATTAGTAGATATTCAGCTGCTGAACTGGGGCACTGAAGCACAATCAAGATACCATTATAGTTCATCATTATATCTAAATTTACAATCTCTTTTGTGAATTATAAAAATCTTTTAAAGATTAATAGTCATTTGGAAAAATAATGTCTATGAGACGAGACAAATTTGTTAGTTACATGAATTTGTTTTAGATATAAAAATTTATTATGTTTTATTAGTTTAGTTCTTATTCATGACATTTATTAATTTGTCTATTGTTGAGAAGTCTGGGGAGCGATGTCTGAAAGTGTCAATGAATTAAAAGTTCATGGTGACAAAAGATCTTGACGTCACATATCCACAAAAAATCTTAAGGCAATAGAGATATGGACGTCTCTCTCATAAATCCAACATTTCCTTCATTCCTAGTCAAATTAGGACTTTAGCATACATTTCACACTTGAAACTCAACAATCTTCCCCACAAGTTTAAGTCACCCACAAGACTAGCCTTGAACCACACTAGGATCCATTTTCGCTCTCCACCGAGCCAACCAAATACCACTTTGGGTTTCAAGTGTGGGTGTTAAAGTCCAACATCAATTAGAAATGGAAGAAATGTTATATTTGTAAGAAAGGTGAATCATACCCACTGCCTTAAGGTGTTATGTGGATATATGTCGTAAAGGTCTCTTGGAACCATGCACATTTGACCTATTAACACTTCTGGACCTTGCTCCCCGTATTTCCCCAACATGTGGTATCAAAGCCTCGGTTGGCTCAACGACAGAGAGGAAGTAGATCCTAATGTGGATCAAGGTTAGTGATGCGAGTGACCTACACTTGTGGGGGAAATTGTTAGGTTTTAAGTGTGAAAGTGTTAAAGTCCCACATCAACTATAAATGGAGGAAATGTTGGGTTTATAAGAGAGGTGACTCATACCTCATTGCCTCAAGCTTTTGGATGGATATGTGGCATCAAGATCTCTTGTAACCATGAATGTTTGGCCCATTGACACTTTTGAACCTCGCTCCTCAAACTTCCTCAACACCTATGTTCTTGTGCAGTGTTGGATACATGAGCATTTCCCGTTCATTTATAACATCCTTGTTAGTGGCCCTGCCACTGATAGCTCTCCACGAGTCAAGAGATGGAAGGCTAGACATTCACACCTAGGTAATTTTCTGGAGTATAGGAAGAGGTTCAACGCGTTCACCTTAGAAGATGTCATATGAACACCCAACACAAACCATAGAGTGCATCGAGAGTTTAATGACACTTACCTTTTTTTGGTTATCTACGATGAGAGACCTTAATGGCTAGTGTTAGAACATAGTTTGATTCTACAATCCTCAGTTAGAGTTTTTATGATAACAAAATACAAGATTAAATAAATTGTAAGATTTATATAAGACATATATGCTACTTAAAATTATGTTGTGTATTTACAGAAACTCTGATGGAATCAGCATCAGAATATCAGTATCAACATCAGCATCAGAAGATATGTCAGCATCAGAAGATCAAATAACATGTGTTATACGCTGAAGCCTGATGAACAGAATCTGCACATAAAATACTCTGACTCTGATCAAGATCCTAACCAAGTCATCAGCACTTAGAAGCGTCAGCATAAAGGAAAGAACACTCTGATTATCATTAGCAGAACAGTCTGAAGCGTTACTAAGCATTCAAGACAGATTAATTACCAACGGCTTTATTCAAAGACAAGATCTTCTCAAAAAGGAAAGAACGTTATTATCATTGAAATGGTTTTATGGACAACAACGTATCTCTTCCTAGGCTATATAAACAAGTCAGTGTGAGAAAAGAAAAGGCTAATACTCTTCACGCACACATACGAAAACGAACGCACTCATACAATTTGCTAAAGCTTTCAACTACGCCTACTCAAAAGCATTAGCAGCCCAGTTTCACTCTAAGCTTAATATTGTGTATTATCACAGCTGTGATATATAGTTTTATTAGAAAACATCAAACACACTTTTGTTCAATTATCTGTAAGAGAATTTCCTTGAGATAAACCGGTCTGTGGTTAGACTGAAGAAGGCTTTAACAGTTGTTAAAGTAGTTTTTGTATTCAGTTGAATATAGTGGATTAAGACCTCGTTGGAGAGAGGCGAAATCACCTTGACGGGTGTACTGGAGTAGTTTGAGATCAAACGAACCAGGATAAAAATACAGTGTTGTCTGCACATTTGATTTAAGTTTTACAATTCAACCCCCCTTCTTGTGTTTTTCACATCTTCAATTGGTATCAGAGCGCCTGGTTCTGAGCTTATAACACTTAACCGTGTCAGTACAAGATCCAGCGTCAGAAAAACACAATGGCAGGACCACATCAAAACATCAGCAATGACAACAATGAAGAAAGAGACAGATTCAGTGGCAAACCTCCAGTCTTTGATGGAGAGAACTTTGACTACTGGAAAGACAGAATTGAAAGCTTCTTTATGGCCCATGTTGCTGATCTGTGGGACATGGTGACTGATGGATACACGCACCCAGTGGATGGAAGTGGTCAGAAAATTGACAGGAAAGCAATGTCTGATCAGCAAAAGCGTGACTTCAGAAATCATCACAAGGCCAGAACAATTCTTCTCAGCGCCATCTCTTATTCTGAATATGAAAAGATATCAAACAGAGACACTGCAAAGAATATGTTTGACTCTCTGAGAATGACGCATGAAGGCAACATTCAAGTCAAAGAAACCAAAGCTCTTGCGCTCATTCAGAAGTATGAGGCATTCAAGATGGAAGAAAGTGAATCAATAGAGACTATGTTTTCAAGATTTTAAATTTTGGTTGCTGGTCTCAAAGTTCTTGACAAAGGGTAT